GTTTTTTTTAATCGATTGACAGCATTTATAAATGTGTGTGTATGTGTATATATTGAACTGAACATCTTTACAAGTCTTATGGTGCTAAATTTACTTTACATCAAACCACATAGTAGTGATAAGTCAAGTATCACTATTAATATTGCTCATATTATGTAGGGATTTGAACAAACCCCTAAATGTTAAACATTCGCTTGTAACTTTTGTAACTCCCTAACTTAAGAGTTACTCATCTAAGTAATCAGATTTTCACCTTGGTGACTCTATTATTGGATAAGGTGAGCTTTTTTGAGCTGATAAACAACCACCTATACGTTTTGCATGCTCACATTTTCCCCAATGTAAATATCTAGTCAAACTTGTATATGTAATAAATCAGCTCTGTATTTTTTAGTGAAATCCGGTGAGCAGAAACTGTACATGTGGTCCATCATCATCATGGCAACTAAGTAGAAACTCTGGCCCTCAAATGTATCGTAGCGCTCTTTGCCGGTTCATTATATATGGAGCGAGAACAGAAGCTTTCAGAGCTGTTTTGAAGGCATTATGGGTAAGAATGAAGTAGATGAGCTCACCCTGTTTCATGAAGGGGGTAAAACCCACTTTACAGCCACTTTGGAAAAAGAGCCGTCATCTCCGAGCCAAGAAATGCAGTGTCTCCACAGGTTTCTATACCAACCAGAGCTCTTATAATGTGTACATGATTTGATAATGAGCTATAGGCTATGACATCATTGTACAGTTGGCTTATCTAGTAAAGCGGCTTTCTTACATTTTAACTTAACACAGCTGTGATATGCTTATTTCATAAAATGAGCTTCAAAATGTTTGAGTCAAGTTTTCCAGCAATATTGTATTTAGATAAAAAACTCTCAATGACTATGATTTGAGCATTGCACATTTGTTTTAAAAAACATCACACTGAAGTGTTAACATTTATGAAACAAAGGAGGAGTAGTTTGGGAATTGTACCAGAATTTGCATGATTAATTAATGAGGCGATGACTTTGAATAAGCCAGTAAATGCTTGTTTCTGGCTCACACTACATGGTGATTATTTTAAAATCTTTTTTTTTATTATTATTTTACAGAAATGTAGTTATCATATTAGATTTTTAGTAATTAAAGCTCCAGTCCGTAACTTTTTTAAGTTAAAAATAATCCAAAATAATTATATAAAAAAAAACGTATTCTGCCAGTGGTCAAAACTATCTGCTTGCCATAGCTAGATTCAAAACGGTTAGCTTGTAATAATGATTTTAATTCCAGTGGTACTGGTGGGTTTCCGCGGGAAATTCGAGCATGTCTTTGCGTAATTACGTCACACCCGTACACATAAAGAAGGAGTTTCGGCTCCTTCGGCTATACTGCGCGTGACGAGATGTTCTCGCAGCACTTTACATTATTAAACTTATGGCATCCAGGAAGATCCAAACAACAATCATCAGTGTCAACTGGAGATTCAGCAGTTATAAAACCCCAAAGACTTCGTACTTCGGATTTAAGGTGGCTAGAGAAAGAGAAAGAAACCGTCTCATGCGAACACAAGGATTTAAACATCGGCGGGGCTTTTGAAAAGTGCGTGAAGGGGTTCAAAACGGAAGAAGAGACGGCTTTTTTCTGCTGAACAAGTAAGACATTTCAATAGTTCAATCGTGTAACAGTACGTTTTCTTAATTCACACAGTTATGGAGTTTCCTTTGTTGTGCCTTTCTCGTTTTGCTATTATGGAGAATATGAATTCTGAACTACACAGGTAACCATAAAACACATTAAATTTAACATTAGTCACGCTATGCTGATGTTGTTAACATGAATTTGAGAACAAAGTAGCCTATAATTTGCACGGTTGCTGTAAATCGCGTTGATTAAATCTAACGAAGCTTATCATGTCGAATGCTTTTTCCCCCTTAGTTGGTCAGAACAAAAATGGATTTTACTTACTTGTTCAGAAGACATTTTCTTATGAAAATTCTTATGTTGGTCAAACTTTCAAAAAGTGAATCTGTGATTCTGTATGACAGTATCCACACAGCGCGGTGACTGACAGCAGCACTCGCCTCAAAGCACTGTGTTCATCCGCGCTGTTTCATGCCGATTTACAACCCACGTAAAGATGATAATTTCGCGAATCACTGCAGTTACAGATTTCGAACAGAGAGATGGCGACAAAGAGGAAAAGTTACGGACTGGAGCTTTAACATGAACTAACAATGAGCATTTATTAATGTTAATCTCAGCATTTACTAATACTTTTTTAAGATCAAAAGTTGTATCTGTTAACATTTGTTTATGGACTGAGCTAACATGAATATTAAATGCTGTAAAATAGATTGGTTTAGGTTAGTTAATGCATTAACCTTTTTTGTTTCTATTATATAGAAATTTTCTTCATGTTCTATTCATTTTTACAGTAAAATTTTAAGTTTAACAAAGTTTAAACTAGAGCCAATTCTATCCTTATCCTTCCCTTTATCAATGTGTATTGTTAAAAATGTTTCATACAATTAATCTTTGCTATTTTTTTAGGGTTTTTAGGTAATTGTACAGTCTCTCAGTTTCACTACAAATATTTAAGTAATTTACACCCATGTTTTATCAATTTCTTTCCATTTTCACTTAGCTTTGGCTTCAAGCAACATTCACATTGGGAAAGATGTCTAGTGAAGTCTGGATATTTTACATTTCTTGTCTATATAGAGCGCTTTGAATCACTCACGTACTGTATGAAGATAGGATGCTCATGCAGTCAATGTAGGCAGCTCACTGACTTTTTTTAAACACAGAAGTCGAATAATTCAATTCAAGCTTGAAAATTATAAATCATTGCATACTCCCTCGATTTAATGTCTCCTTTTAAAGGCTCAAAGTCAGGGGGCGAACTTATGGTAAACTATGTACCCTTTATCAAGATGACTTCCTGAGGGTGGATGGAAAAGACATCATTTGCTTGGACAGTTCAGTCCATATATTCTTAGTTTACAGATATTTACTGTTTCCATTCCAGCAAATTGACTGTATTCTGCTGTTTTTCCCTGATAAACCAGCAAAACACCAAACAAAGATTTGTTTTCAACCACATTTATAATTGTAGGACTTTGGACTTCGGTGGGCTTTTTAGACTTGATCTTAGTATGCAGTTGTAATGTAGTTTTTTTTGTGTGTTTAAAGATATCCCAGTTATGTTGCAATCAGTACATGCTATAACATTCGTAGTTCTTTCTTTTCCTAAATTGTCCAACATTAAATAGTTTCTTGAGTTTGATTGCCTCTGCATGAAATATAATGGAGGCTGCTTTTGAGGAAATTGTTGAGGTTTGTTACCCGACTCTCGTTATGTTATAACGACTCCCTGAGGCTGAAATCTTAAACTTTTCACTACACTCAGAATCACTCGGACGACATCTGCTTTCTAATTTTTTTATTTTCTGTTGCTTGCATTGGAGTCTCTGCCAAGTGTGTGTCTGTGTGTCCAGCGTTCTGTGTTTGCCGTACAATTATAATCAGACTGGAGTCTCTCATTCTTCACTACATAACAACAGCTTTTCCTCCATCTCAGTTATTTCCAGCACTTTTGTTTTTGTCTATCAGAAATGAGTTTTCCACGAAATATGCTTTGACGCCAGTTGTTTCCTTTTAGAGAAAAAAAAAATCGAGTTTCAAAAACCGCAGATGAAACTTGACCTAGTGCTGTCCTGACATGCCGTGACCTCAGATGACCTCTGATTTTCTCATTCTTTCTGAGTCTGGTGTTCATTTATGTACCAGACTGTCAGGATGTCCTGAGCTGATCTCAAGGAGCGTATCTGGGCTTTTTTTTTACTGATCAGTATTGGCTATCCCAGGGGTGTCCAATCCCGAATTAAACACACCTGAACCAGTTAATCAAGGTCTAACTAGGCATATTAGAAACCTCAGACAGGTGTGTTGCTAAACTGTGCAGGACAGTGGCCCTACAGGTAGATATCCCATAGATGTGTCTTTTATTACATGTGAGCCCCTGAAAAACTCTCTGTACAGACATGTATACATTGGATTTATTTTAAAGTTCCCGTAGTCAATAATTTTATCCCTTAAAGGGATACTCCACCCAAAAAGTTAAAATTCTGTCATAATTTACTAACCCTCAAGTTGTTCCAAACCTGTACAAGTTTCTTTCTTCTGCTGAACACAAAGGAAGATATTTTGAAGAACGATTGGAACCAAACAGTTGTTTGGCACCATTGACTTCCATAGTAGAAAAAAAATTTCTATGGAAGTCAATTGTGCCAAAGTTCCAATCGTTCTTCAAAATATCTTCCTTTGTGTTCAGCAGAAGAAAGAAACTCGTACAGGTTTGCAACAACTTGAGGGTGAGAAAATGATGACAGAATTTTAACTTTTTGGTTGGAGTATCCCTTTAAAACTCGTCTTTGATCATCAAAATGACACATTTAAAGATTTTTTTTTTAGAATTGCCTTTACAGGGCATGAAATGATTTTTCTTGAAAAAAATTCTTCATGCCTTAAAATAGCTTGAATGTAACTCTACACCCTTGCTTCATTTACTATACACGGTATTATGAATATGCAAATGATCCCCGCCTCCACTCACTCGCACAAGCTCAGATCCACTCGTTGACGATCACACATTCACCTGATTGGTTGAAACTCCAGTGATTTCAAACCTTGTTTTTGAGACTGTCTTTAGTTCACTGCAGTTTTAAGGAGATTTATGAATTTACACATGGTTTGTCTTAAAGCACATTAAAAACACCACATAGACATATAAACAACATTTAAAAGCTTGATTTTCACCACAGGGGGACTTAAATAACTTTAATGTACTTGAAGTGCGCAGCAAGCACTAGGACAACACAAGTCAGATCGGGACTCGGCAGATGGTCAATATTCAATGACTCCGATCGGATTAGGGGAACAAAAAACGTGACATCCCAACTTCTCAGTAACAGGCAGCAAATCAATGTTCCCTGTCATCACTGTTTTTCCCATCTTTTCAGGTGAGCTTCTGGTTGGTACGGGAAATCCTCACCGCTCAAACACTGAAGATCCGTGCTGAGATCCTGAGCCACTTTGTCAAGATCGCAAAGGTTCGTTCATGAACAGTTATTTTCAAAACTCTTATTGTATTAATAAGAAAAAAGTATTACTATTAGGCTAGAAAAGATCACTAACGCACCAAAATCTATTGCCAATACATCATTCTTTATGTATCACAATAAACACCACTATCAAATTCATCAGTTTATTCAAGGATAAGAGTACATGTATGTGTTATTCTAAACAACTACATTTCCCATCATGCAATGCTGCCTTAAATTTGGCCACAACTAGGTATCTTAGGACCTGTTTACACCTGGTATTAAGAAGCGTTTTGGTCAATCGGATCACAAGTGGACGACACTAAATACATGCGGGGTCTAAAAAGTTTTGAGCTTTTCCACTTTCCACCATCGAAAACACATTCGACCGGATTGCTTTCATAGTGTTAACACTCATGTGGTCGAGTGTGTTCAAACAGACACCTACTGACCTAATGAGTAACATTATGGGAAGAGCGCTAGCCAGACGGGATTTAAACTTTGGCGGCTGAAGACTTTGACTCACAGCGTTCGGCTGGTCTTGTGGCTGTCAGAGCAGAAACTAAAGCTGCTGCTCTCCGTATGTTTTTCTGTCGTCTCCGGGCGTTCACATGTAAATTGCACAAGCTGATTTTGTCCATTAGATCGAAAGTTTTAAAAAAAAACATACATTTACCTACCTATAGACCCTCCCCTCAAAGAAATCAGGACAGAAGTGGTTGAAAGTGGACAAAAGAGACGAATTAAAACACCAGGAGTAAACGGGAATGTGTCTCCCTCGTCCACTTGTGATCCGATCGATTAAAACGCATCTTAATACCAGGAGTAAAGGGGGCCGTAGAAGGCAGCATACCGAGCTAAAGAGCAATTAGGTCTGGATTAGATATACTGAGTGAGAAATGCCACTCTAAGGATGTTGAATGGCTCCAGCTGTGTCGTGCTGCATTTGTGCATGTTGTGAGATGATGTTTGTGAGTCTGTCCAACTTCGACGGCTCACCTCATTAGTGTGGACTACAGATTATTATACAGTATGTTCCTACTTTGAAATGAGGTGCCATTAAAGTCGGTTGGCACACACTTAGCGATCAACTAAGCATTATTATTCAGTTTTATATAACTATGCATAAATTTTCCTTTATTTACTTCAAATATCCATTACTTGAAGAGCTTAATGAAGTCCAGATATTTACGATATATAGAATGTGTTATAATAAAAACACACACTTTTTCCACCCCATTTGAGTATTGCTGATTATCTTTTCAAATTTACTTCTATATGGTTTGGAAAGCTTTAGTCGCACTATAGAAATGCTACATTAGGGCTAATGATTTAGCAGCAGTTATTTTTATATATATTAGACACTTAATTTTTAATAAAAAAATGTATAATAGTCACAATAACACAACAATGACTCTGACAAATGTTTGCCCAACCCTTTGGTTTTTCATTCGGATAATCTGACTCTCAAAAGAAAGTAAACTCATCAAAACAAGCCACGTCAATGAAGCGGCTCGAATATCAGGACCCGTGAGCCATCCTTCAGATATCTCATGACTAAATCTCAGAGGAACACTTGCTGACAGAACAAAAGCCGAGAAAAACACTCAGATTGTAGTCATCATGTGTCATGGAGTCGATTCGGCTGTGCCAGATTTGCTAAAGCAGTTTTCCATCATTTGTTGGGGCTTCATTGTGGGAGTAATGATGAAAGCAGGTCTGTATCTATCTGAAGGTCACTGTCTTTTAGTGGACCGCGTCCAATCAGAGAGCAGTAAAGGGAGTTTTGAGTGTGGGCGGTGTTTGTGACATCATCTAACCTAACAAACAGACAGTAGTACATGTCTGCTTTATTAGAAGTGCATATGGATTTTCTCTATTTTCACAAATTGCAACCTAGTCTTTTATGAAGTGAGAACTTTTCATTACATGCATTTATTAGCAAAACATGATAAAATAAAATGCAACCAGTAAAACGGAAGTGGTTGCTATAGCCTATAAATATACTCTTTGACTCGCTCGCGCTCTTTAAACAGCTTTATTGTGGTTTGTGCATTGAGTTTTCTGAGCTGTAAAGCAATTCACCACTTGTTTTCTATGTGTGCAGAAACTTCTAGAGCTGAATAACCTTCATTCTATGGTGTCGGTGGTGTCGGCACTGCAAAGCGCTCCCATCTTTAGATTGAGCAAGACTTGGGCGGTAAGACAAACTTATTTGATGACACTTATTAAATATTTACTTTATTGAATGAATCTGAGGCTGTCCTCGAGGAGAGGTTTAGTCAGAGGATAGTTTCTGTCCCCACGATATAGCGAAATAAAGCCAGACTCGCCATAGACCTCAAACGTTTGGCTACTTCATCATAATATCTGAATTATAAAAATGTGTTGCTCATATATCATGGTAAGTATGTTCTCTGCACTTTGCCCACTTAGTCCTGTAATTATTTTTTCCCTGCTCACTTTGAAACTGATTCTTTTTAACAAGCGTGTCGTTTAAAATGGAAAATTATTCTCTAGAATTGTAACTTTGTGGAAAGAGACGTGGAATCCAAACATAACACTTCTCTCATCATATTCTATACTGGTTTTCAATAAGCGTAGATTGCAGAAAAAATTAGTCATAACTAGTGATGCACCCACATGAAAAGTTTGTCCGGAACCAAAACTGAAGTTCTGAACAAACTGAGATGAAAACCCGAAAGCAAAAAGTGCTCGTTTTAAAGTAAAGCTCAGTCAGTATGTTTTTGAAAGAAGTCTCTTCTGCTCACCGAGGCTGCATTTATTTGATCAAAAATTCAGTAAAAACTGTAATATTGCAAAATATTTTTACAATTCAAAATAACTGTTTTCGATTTCAATATGTTATAAAATGTAATTTATTCCTGTGATCAAAGCTGAATTTTCAGCATCATTACTCCAATCTTCAGTGTCACATGATCCTTCAGAAATCACTCTAATATGCTGATTTGCTGCTCAAGAAACATTTCTGATTATTATCAATGTTACAAACTTTTTTGTTATAAAATATTTTTGTGGAAATCATGACACACTTTTTTTCAGGATTCTTGGTTAAATAGAAAGTTCAAAAGAACAGCATTTATTTGAAATATAAATCTTTTGTTACAATATAAATGTCACTTTTGATTAATTTAGTGCATCCTTGCTGAATAAAAGTATTAATTTCTTGAAAAAAACCTTCTCCCACACTAAAGGAACATGAATTGTATGGAAGCTTGGAATAATAGCTACTTTTTTTTCTCACAATTGTGAATTTACATCTATAACTCTTATTGCAAGTTTATATCTTGCAATTTTGAGAGAAAAAAAGTCAGAAATGTGAGATATAAACTTGCAATTGCTTGTTATAAAGTCAGAATTTTAAGATAAACTCGCAATTGCCTTTTTTATTTTTTATTCAGTGGCGGAAACAAGCTTCTGTAGAGTTGAGACAATTTACCAGCAGGATTATTTTTATCAGCCCATCAGACCGTTTCTTGGATTTTATTCATCTACATTCCTTGCATCAGATGAAAACCTAACAGGGAGGGTCAGGCTGTCGTTCTTATTCAGTATTAAATTAAATCATGCATTGTGTTGTAATTCCTAAAAAGTTATGCTTTTTGGTCTGTAATGCATGTTATCTACATGCCAAAACCAGGTTATAATCACATTTGCAATGGCGAGACTCAATTATTGACCTTTGACCGCTTCATGATGACTAGTTTACTGGTGGATGTCTGATCATGCTGTTCTTTCTGCCACTATCGATTAAGATGATCGTGACGATAGCAGGGCTTCACGCTTGACCTTTTCACTGTTAGCATAAAACGCTGATTTTCTTCTCGTATGGTCTTGATTGTCCAGGGCTTTTTAAATCCAGTTGATTTTTGCCACTATTTGTAGTAGAAGACAAGAAACGGCTTCAGGGAATGTTTAAAGCCAGATTACTCACTTCACAGCTCAATGTATCCAGTGCTTTTGTGTTCATCTGGCAACATGCAGAAGCTTTAGAGAGTTTGACTGGTTAAAAACCGAATGTCTGGGTGCGTGTCTTTTGGCACTCGCCGTTGGACCCTCTTACTCCTCACATCCGAGGCCAGATGACCACTTCCCCTAAAAAATAACAGATGTTTGAAATATGGAGAGAAATTGTGCTCTTAGGAAGTGTTCATCATTTAAAATAGATGAATAATTTCCTGTACTTTCTTTCAATGAACAGTATGACCTTCAAAGTACTAGAAACTTATTTCCCACTTGATTTTGGCCACTGCTTTCAAAACCTGTTGATTGGCCTCTCTGTCATGCTGTCAGTGTCTTCTAAAGGCTGGAAAACATGATTTTTACCACGATTTGCAGTCTGGTTCAGTCGGCAATACTGTAGTTGCTGAAAGTCTGCGGCAATCTACAGATTTTGGGCAGTCGGAAATTCAGAAATTGACAGATTTCACAGAAAATCGAGTAGTATGTGATGAGAACAGACTCAAGTCGGAGGATATCAAAACATGTTCAATATTTTGAGCCGGTTTTGAGCCTCAATATCCAAACGTATAGGGGAGACGTTGAATAACCCCTATTTCAAAAAACGGTGGCGTGTTCCTTTAATGATTTTTAGTTCAGTGATACTTACATCTGCATTGGCTATTGATGATGCCAAGATCAACTTTGCAGGGAATGTTTATAGCTCTGTCCATCCACCCTCAGAGGAACACCAGGGACACTTTGCTCTTTAAAAACCGTTCCTCTGCCGCTGAGAGTGTCCGTGGCGCCGGAGGTTTGGCGTTAGTCAAGGTGACGTGGATGAGAGATTCATTTATGTACAGCATAAGAACTAGGAACGTATCTGATATAATGCGAAGCCCAGATTCATTTGCAAAACGCAAGGGATAATACATAAAATATGATGTCAGGGGAACAACACAAATTTGGTTTAATGATTGATTGTTGTTCAAAAGCTCAAGGCTATAACCATTGATTTCCTGCAGCAAATTCTCAATGTTATTAAAGGCAAGTGTCACTGCTCATACTTGCACTAGGCAAGAGGCAACAGGTTTTCAAGGACAAGCAATGAATCCATCCACACTTAAAGGGGTAGTTCACCCAAAAATTAAAATTAGCCCATGATTTACTCACCCTCAAGCCTTCCTATGTGTATGACTTTCTTCTTTCAGACGAATACAATCAAAGCTCTTCCTAGCTTTATAATGGCAGTGAATGGAGGACAACATTTTGAAGCCCAAAAAAGTGCATCCATAAACAAATAATGTTGGGCAACAAACTCAAGCTCCATCATTTCTCTTTAAAAATTATTGTTTTAGACTTCTAATTCGTGAATGGTGTTTTGTTTTGTCAATACGTCATGCGTCGGGTCAAGGGTCACTCTTTCACCATTAATCGATGCGTACGGCCGTCTGTCGAAGCTAGCTATTTTAGTCGATAAAGTTCAATTCATAGCAATTAAACTTGAATCGATTGACAGCAGTGTTATTTTAGTATTTTTTTTATACTGGTTTATAGGTTTCATTAATATTTTTTGAATTTGCTTTCAATTTGATATATTCCATGTGCATTTTATTTTTGTATCTTTTCTTATTTATTTTAAATATTACTATTTAATATTAATATTTAACAGATTTTTATTTCAGTTTTAGTTAGATTTTTAGTTCTAATTTCCAATGAAGTTTTCATCCAATATTTACATTTTATTTCTGCTTTATTTCAGTTTTTTTTTTTTTTTATAGTTCTAGTTAACGATAATAACCCTGATTGACAGCCCTGCTAGTTGGCTCATCTCTTGCCTGGTTTTGATTGATTTGAACAGACCAAAACACATTAAACTGGCTTGTAACTCGTCACACATTATTTGTGCTACATGAATGATACCTCAACAATACACAATGGTGAATTTTGGGCAAGTATGACTGGAGAAAACAGGAAAGTATTGCATGGTTAGCCGCCAACACACTTTATAGCCCGTCTGCAGGTATGAGCTGGATGAGGTTTGACTGTACTGTATTGAAAGCAGCCCAGGTCTAATTAATCCCGAGAGACCAGTAGCGCTTGTTTTATCCTCTATCCTCACACCTGCTCTCTCAGCCAGAGTCCTGCCAGCTCCGGCACACATTTTCCTGCTCGCTCACCCCATTATGGCACCATATAGAGCCGAACAGGAGCTTTTTCAGTGGCTTTGTTCACAGAAGGGCCACTTCAATCCCTACTGTTGAAACTGAAAGAAGAAACACAGAAGGAAGATTATACAGTGTTCTCCAGTAGGATTCGCCTGACGTTTCAGAGCTTTTCAGCAGACGTCAACAGCTGGCACTGAGAAAATTGATTTGAATCGCAGATTGAGGAAATATTGGCTAATATTCGATGTTAGGCATGCATCAGTGAAACCACCTGAAACATGGTATATCCGCTTTCAACACCCTAAAGGCCAGAACCGCTAGCTAGTCAAGCTCCAAAACCATGATTTAGATGAGCTATGACTTTTACCAGAGGGAACTCTGTTAGCTGCATTACAGGCTTCACTGATGGGGAAGGTCAGAGTACTTTGCACATTTATTTTTATTTATTTCTATTTGCATGCAAGAGAATCTCTCCCGGATATTCAGATGTCCCACAGGTCAATGAATGCTTCACCCCATACGGCTAAATGATTTCCAGTTGTAAATGAATCAAAGATTAGTTGAGTAAGAAAAGAAAATACATGTTCAGTCTTTCTATTTTTATTAAATGCATTACTTGGCTTTTTTGTAATTAGTTGTGAAATTTACTAGCAGTTTCTGAGTGAAAATTGTTTCAAAGTATATCTTACACCAATTTGTTTTCAAGTTTAGTCATTTTAAGTCATTTTTGTTTGGTAGTGCAACATGACATATGTAGTACTTGTGTGTAACTATTATTTTGATAATCAACTAATCTGTAGATTATTTTTTTTTATTAATCAGATGAAAAATCCCAAAATGATTTAGTGTTAAATAAAAGATATATATATAATAATTGTAATCGAATTTTTGCACAATTATTGAACATTCTACCAAATATAGTCCTCCCAAAAATTTTGCAATTGTAATGCATGAACACAAATAATGTATTAATATCTATGTTTCCATCCACATATTTGTATACGTATTTTGGGTTATCACATAAAAAAAAACGCTGGATGGAAATGCCAAGATGTGCATAAATTCTAAAAGT